TAGAAATCACCAACCACACAGATGTCAACAGGGAAATGACTGACGGGGCAGCAGATCACAAAGGGAAATGAGTCAACAGCATCTTGCTGATGCAAAAAAAAAGCCAAAGCAGCCTGGAGTGTATAAGCAGAAGCATCGACCATTGGAGGTGAAATCACTCATCCGGTTTACTCAGAGCTGGAGTACTGTGTCCAGTTTGGGACATGGCGATTGAAGAAAGGTGTTGAGAGAGTCCAGAGGAGAGCAACAAAAATGATGAGCTATCTAGAAAACATGACTGATGGGGAAAGACTGAAAGAATTGGGTTTGTTTAGTCTCAAAAGGGAGGCCTGAAGGGAGACATAAGTCTTCCAAGATGTGAAAGGTTGCTGCAAAGAGGAAGGTTATAAACTGCTGTCCATGTCCACGGGGGATAGGACAAGATGTAGTGGGTTTAAATCGCAATGAGGGTGATTTAGGATAGACATTAGGAAAAACTTTCTAACTGTAAAGGAAGTTAACCACTGGAACAGATTACCTGGGAGACTGTGGAATCTCCGTCAGTGGAGGTTATTAAGAGCCACTTAGATACATTTCTAATCAGGAGTGGTTTAAGGCAGTGATTCCCAACCAGGATGCTGTGACAAGTGTGCAAACATCTATGCACAAATCACAAGATAAACCAAGAGAGTTCAAATAGGAATCTAGAGCACCCAAAACATTTTGCCCTGTGGTCTGAGTTCTTTGCAAGAGAAGAAGGGCTCTATTCTTTTTCTGTGCTCAAAAAACAAGCAAAAGCTAAGAACTGGTGTTCTCCGGGCTGCCTTGAGCCAAAAAAGGTTGAGACCTACTGGTTTAAGGTAAAGCTGCTCCTGCCCTGAACAGGGGCTGGATTAGATGACTTCCAGAGGACTCATCCAACCTTATTATTTCTGATTCAGATCGTGTGTGGATAAGGGTGCTTGCATACTAGGAGAAAGAATAAGGATGTGTGCATGGTAGATGCACAGACTGAATGAGAGGAGATGGGATAAAGGAGGGGAGGGTATGGGGAAGTAAAACCAAGTCCCTTGCTTGGCTGTGCCAGGAACTGTCTCCAGTGAACCCCCTTCCCAGCCCACTGACAAGAAAGCACCAGACCGCAACTCCTCCTGCTGGCATATAATCAGTGACACCCCAGCTGCTGGGCACATCTGGCGTACTTGTTTATCAGGCTCTGTGAGCCAGCAGCAGGGAGGTATGAGGGTGCACTGGGCAATCTTTATATAGGAAGAGGCAGCAGCTCATACACACGCTACAAATCCTTCCGTTACAACGGGTCCAGCAGCAGGATTCACACCCCGCTCAGAGTCCCCTTCAAAAGCTGTCTCCACCTCTCCTGGAAACAGTTGGCTGCCTGCTGTCATGCAGGCCCCGAGCTCACTGCAGCTTCATTAGTGCATGTTAATCTCTGCAGCAGGAGACTAAAAGCAGGAGAAGAAAGAAGGAATAAAGTGTTTGCAATGAGAGAAACCCTCCCTGCTTCCTCAGGAGGGAGGTCTCACATCTGTCTGAGCTCTGAGCAAGGAACGGAGCGGGCCAAAGGGTAAGAAAGAAGCAAGAACAGAAGGCTCAGGTAGGATGAAATGTGTGTCAGCCTGAGAATGGCTTGCACACCCACTGTAATGTCTTGGGGCTACCATCAGGCCTGGGAAATCCAGGAAACTATACTTGAACACCTGCTGTAACGTCTTGGGACTATCATCAGACCTGGGAAATCCAGGGAACTATACTTGAACACCCGCTGTAACGTCTTGGGACTATCATCAGACCTGGGAAATCCAGGAAACTATACTTGCACACCTGCTGTAACAACTCGGGGCTACCATCAGATCTGGGAAATCCAGGAAACTACTTGCATGCCCGCTGTAATGTCTCAGGGCTACCGTCAGACCTAGGAAATCCAGGAACCTATACAAGCAGCCATTTGCTAGGGAAGAGTTGGGGGAGCTCTCAGGAGCAGAACTGCACTGCCAGCCCTCCTTGCATTGGTCTTCCACAGCTCACCAAAAACAAAACCCTCCAGAAAAAGTTGTGAGGAGGAGCTGCCGGCTGGAAGGAGCTACTTGGTGCTGCAGAGGCAGCCGCAGTGCTCCTTGGACTGAAGCAGTGCCCAGCAGGAGGCCTGTTCTTTCCCAGGCTGGTCACCTACATCTCCTCAGGCAGGTGAGACATATGCAGATGGCACCTGACTGCAAACATGACAGCACACCATACCAAGCTGGACACGGCTCAATGTCTCGTTACAAATGCAGCTGAGGCAGATCTGCAGCCCCAAGTGGAAAGAAGCTCCAACTTGGGTGCTAAAGGACATCCCCGTATAGATTTTCTGTCTCTTTGGAAAAGCCTCCCCTTCTTACACTGCCCACTCCCTTTTCTTGGATTGTCATTCAACCACCTAATCCTCCTCGCATTTACACTGTCACAGCCACTCTGAAGGTGACCCAGAATGTGTGACCATAACTAGGACAGGCCAAAGTTGAATGTACGGTCACACACGCTTGTTGTCCCTAGAACAGTTCTTACTGTGCCTGGCATGAACTAACTTCTGTTGAACTAACAGTGAGAGGTTGCCCCAACAATGGAGCGGGTGCAACTTTGTGCTGGGACACTCCTATTGCAGATTAAACCTGGTTCACATCAGTTAAACACCAGATAAATGCAGTGCAACCTCGCACCTTTAGTTAAACAGGTGCAACTTGTGTGTCAACAAGCAGTCAGCTAAGACATAATCCTCCCTTTCTTGCTGGTGTAAATGCAGAGCAGATGAGCTGGGCCAAGTGGAGTGCTACTAGTGTTAAACTGGTGTGAGACCTGAATCGGCCCATTATACTCCGGGCTGGGAGGAAAACGGAAGGGTCGGCTGGCTTCACTCACTGGTATTATTGTAATGTTTGGCATGTTACACCGGACCATCATTGGATGCAATTTGGGGAAACCCTGCTGTATGACAGCTGGGGACTTAGCCATTTTAGCATCTAACACTGACAGTGCACTGGCTTTCCAGACAGGGCCAAATCCAGATTCTGGTGTATTAGCATAAACCTGGAAGAGAAAATGGGAATTTCTCAAGATTTACAGAAGAACCATTAACAGCAGAACCTAGTCTTGTCTGACAACACCTAACGGGTCACAAGAAATGTCAGGCTTAACTAACATCTGGCTGGCATTTTGAGAAGCTGGGAAATAACATCATCTGTAGGCCGCTGTGGCTACCATCTTTCTGTGTCACCAATTGCTAGTTCTTCTTACATTTTAACTTGGCCCTATGGCAAGAGTCTCAAGGGGCAAGGAGTTTTTGGGGGCACTGAACAATACAATGATGAAGGGAAGGAGAGAAACACGGATAAAGCTGCGTTTAGAAACTGCCGGTAAAATATATATATGGCTACAATGCACAGTGTTGGTTTTGAGTTATATCAACTGGCTCCATTTGTAGATGTGGCTACACTACTCATACATAGAAAAATGAAAAAAAACAACCCCAAAACCTTCCAAGTGCCCATTTGGGGTCCTGTCCTACAAAACCTTAGGCACCCTTCAAGAGAGATTGTGTCTGGGTACAAGTCTGCTGACATGCCCAAGCCCTCGGTCTTGTCCTGGGGAGGGTTCCTCTGTTTTCCCTTTCTATTCCCCTCAGTCTGAGTCATCCCATGTGCTAATCTTGCTTTGTGGACACTAAGGGAGGAGCCACATGAATGTTCATGTTGTCCTGGCACTGCGCACGTGGACAGCTAACCCGGATAAGATCAGCTGGCCCATCAGCTCCAACATGTGCGCTCCAAAGGAAGCAGCTGGCTGGAAATCCCAGCACTGGTGACATCCCCTTCTCAGCAGTCCTGAGCACTGGAGGACCCCAGCCCCACACCCTTTTCGATTGCAGGAATCCTACCATAAGTCAGGACTGAAGCTTTATTCCTTATTGCCTGGTCTTAAAATTAGAGTTTGTAAACTCCAAGAGCCAGGAGGGGCAGTTATGATCCTAACCTGTCCTCCTGCCTAATGCAAGCCAGAGTACCTCTCCCAGTCCCCTGACATCTGGTTGAACCCGAGCATCCTCTTTTACAATGAAGTCTGGCTCAGAGAGCTTCTGCTTCTTTTTCAGAAAGGAAAACGAAGAGGTTGATCTCCATAATCCTCAGGAATTCCACGCAGCTTTTTATAAAGTGACATATATGCTGATCAGTCTGAAGGGAGAAGCTTTCCTGTGTCGCTAAGACCCCTGAGAAATTTCTCTAAGAGTTTCCTCCACCCAAGGGCAGGCCTCTCCTTCAGCACACATGTAGTTATCCAAACACCCACAATCTGCTCAGCTTCCGCAGCATACACGACTCCATAACAATGAAAGAGCAAATGAAATAGGTTGGTAAATCTTTATGGAGCTGCACAATTTTAGGGTAGCCTTTAACGTTGTTGGGTTTTTTTTTCCAGGCCAATACACTTCTTGCTTCTACCTAGGACTAAGGAGCAAAGCACAATGACAAAGGACGGTCTTATAATCTGATTGCGTACCCAAGAGCTCAAGAGATCCTGGTGTTTGGAACTTGACAGATCAGTTTTGCAAACCCAATACGCTTGAATAAAGGCAAGTAAAATCCCCAGTGCTTTGACGTCTGTCATCTTAAGGCCAAACCTTGCTTATTTGGGGAAAAAACCCCAAGAAAACAAATGTGCAAGTAAAAGTGGATAAAAGGACCTCCAAGGTTCAGACCGTGCTTCTGAAGGCTAGACCAGAATCTTCTCTTACCTGGGGATAGACCAGGACTGACTTCATTACAACAGGGTAACACCAGGCTCTTATTCCCGCTGTTCCTTCTGCCCCAAATCATTGGAAATATAGGTAGCCAACATCATACTCAATATTACTCCAAGTACCACATCAGTAAGTCCTGGCTGAGGAGCTCTTTGCTAGTTCTCGTTTGAGCAGGACAGCATCTAGCAGCACCCGCACTTGTCTCCTTGATCATTCAGTCCATTCTTACCTTTGTACTGAGGGGTGAACTGCTTCATGGCGGTGGGCAGCGACTCGTAGAACCACTGCTCCTGGGAGATGAGGGGCTTGCAGACTGTGTGCTCATCGTATTTCATCATGCTCATGTGGCCCCCGACCTGATGGATGAACGGCTCCAGCAGCACCACCTTCCTGGTGTCCCCAGCATCTGGGTTGGGCACAGGCCCCACCATGAGGCTCAGAGGCTCGTGGTCCAAGTCCAACTTGGAGAAAAGCTACAAGGTTGTCTATAAAGGAAACACCCTCTTGCTTAAAGCGGGCAGAGATCCAAAGATGGGTTGAAAGATGTCAGCAGTGCGTGGGTGGACACTGAACCCAGATCGTGGCTGCTCTTAGTGCAAATGTCTTCTGACTTCTTGGCTTGCCTTTGAGGACATCACTGCAAAATGAAGGGTAAATACAGAAGGTGAGGAAACAAGGGCAAATCACTTCAAGCACACCTTCCAGTTATTCACTGGAGTTCAAACAAGGTCGGGCCACTCTCCAGTGGCTGTGCTATGCACACTAAAGCTCCTCCAACCCTCATCCCATAGCCCGTGAGAAGCTTGCACAAGCAGGGAGAGTTATACCTTGAAGGCACGTGTAGGTTGCACGCTTGTAGGGCGAGATCCATACATGCACAAGTCCTGGCTGGGAGCCAAGGCTTGAGATGCACATTCCAAACAAGGCCCAATTTAGATCTGGATAGGGCCAAAAGCAGTAAAGAAGGACAATCCAAGAGAGTATCAGGTTAATGCAACTGTCTAAGACCAGCTAGATCAGGGCATTCCTTCTGCCAGCTAACATCAAGTTACTGATATGATGCTCCTTTCCTGGCCTGAAGCCCCCAAGTGAAGGTAACTTCCACCTGCCAAACATGAAACTGTTGATGAAGTTTTCAGTCTTTCCTCAAGGGGGTCCAAGGCATTCCCTGCCAGCAAGGTTATCAGTGAAGGCCTCTGTTCTCTGATAGCACCCCACTTCCCAGACCTTCCCTCCCCACTGACAGTAGAGTCCATCTCCACCCTCTCCCTTTTCCTTAAGGAAACTTCAGATGAGGACATTCCTCACTGGTTACCATTTGGGCATTAGGATCCCTCGCCCTTCCTAAAGGAGCCTGAGATAGGATGCTCGATGATCTGCATTGACATTGAACCTAACAATCTGTTCTGCTAAGATCATAAACAACATCAGCTCCAAATCACACCCCCTCCTAACCCCCAGCTTTCCACACTTCACCTACCAAGACACGCTCCGTGTGTCAGTAAAACCTAAAAAAATCCATAGCTACCACAGTCATTTCTCCAAAGGGCTGATTCTGGGAGATTTGCCATAGATTTCAATAGAAGCAGGATTTGGCTTTAGACTAAGCAGTTAGATACAACACACACATATGCAAAAAAACCCCCATCCTGTATGTGTTGGGGTTGGTATCTGATAGGATCTGTTCCCGTTCCAGATAGGCAAGAACAGCAGCCCCAAGTGTGATGGGAGAACACATGCAGAGGATGCCATGAGCCCTGCCCTAAAGCCTAAAAGTCACCCCGAGAGCAGCACAGGTCCTATATGAGCCCTGAAGAGAAGGGTCAAGGCCTCATACTGATCCTCTCTCCAGGGATGAATTCCACTTCGTATGTGCCAGGCTCACTGAACCCAGTTAATGGCAGTTGTAGGCTGGGGCAAGCCCAAAAGCAGTTAGATAATGTGCTGGTTTATGGCAGGTCTTTCTCTCTCTTCATGCTGAAGACTTCCTCTGCATCCTCATAAGGACACCATTTTTCAGGGCATGCAATGGAAGCTATTTAAAAATAAAATCAATCCAGTGATATGCTGGTGAATAACATGAGAAGGAAGAAGCCTGCTAGTTAGATACAAGCTTCCTCCTACCCACATCTGTTTTAATTAGCAATGCCTTGGCCTGACAGCAGAATCTTTGCTCACTTCCCTGTGTATTGCCAATATGGTTCCCCATCTCCCATGATCAAGGTCTCCTTTGACAGGTGTTAGGGGCTTAAAGCACTCGGAGATCCCTCCCAAATCTCCAATAAAGTGGCACAGTCACTTCAGGATCTGCTGCAAGGCAGCTTAACAGGAGAAGACTTCCCCTGCCACAGGTTCTCCCCTGGAAGGGGCTGTTTCCACTGAGGCAGGGAGAGCCCCTTGCAGGAGTAAGTCAAGGCCTGGGTAGACATCAGGATGGAGTTACATCAGGTATGAATTTGGCCCTGCAAAGCCCATCTGCATGAAGGAGCAGCTTGTTCACGGCCTCCCCCCTCCGGAGAATGAATACTGGGAAATGCAGAAGGAGAGTTATTCTGGGCAACCACCCTGGAGCCCAGGGATTCAGGAGCGAAACGGGATACCTGGAGAGTAAACAAGGGTGACAGCAGTCCAACACTCGAGCCTATAGGCCATATGAATGCACTGAACAGGACTAAGGAAATAGCCTGGTGTTCTCCTGCCTTTCCTCTCCACTCCGAGACCCTTCTCCATAGTGAGCAGCATCTTAGTGCACCTGAAGTCCTATTGAGCTCAAGCAGCAAGGCCTTCGTCAGTGTGAATAAGGGACTCAATTGATAGGAAGGACTTATACAGCCTCCTGTCCAAGTGCTTCATGAAGAGCAATGCTTCTCTTCTCCCAATCCTCACGCTGGGGGGGAGGCATGCTATTCTCCCCATTCTGCAGAAGGCGAATGGAGACACCAAGGGCACAGTTACACCTCTGACTTACCATGTCAGATGTAACAGGTAGCAACCTGCTTAAACACGCCATGCTTGCACACTCCTCCCCCCCCCCCCCCCAAACAA